TTCCCTATCCCTCTTCCCTGGAGCTTAGTGTCATCTGTGAACTTGTTGAGGGTGCAATCCATCCCATCATCCAGATCTTTAATAAAGATTTTGAACAAAACTGGCCCCAGGACAGAACCCTGTGGTATTCCGCTTGATACTGGCTGCCAACTAGACATGGAGCCATTGATCACTACCCATTGAGCCCAATGATCTAGCCAGCTTTCTATCCACCTTATAGTCCATTCATCCAATCCATACTTTTTTAACTGGCAAGAATACTATGGGAGACCGCCTCAAAAGCTTTGCTAAAGTCAAGATATAAGTTAGTAGCCAGAGGATTAAATCTGCTACCCACAGGTTGATATGAAAGATTGGGATGGATGCGCACTGTTCAGAATAGTCAACCTGTCCCTCTTTACCTTAGCTACTACATGCTCCTTCATCCCCTCCTGTTCCATTCTCTGCCTCTTTGCCCTGCAGTTACCATCTTCATTAAACCCATAAATAAATTTTTTTGATGGCCTTTATATTGATAACCATGTTTTGGCTTATCACTAAATGAATTTGGGTAGCAGGCCTGAAATTAAATTCCTCTATTGTTTCAATGATCCCTCCCCCCACTGTTTGGTTGTTTTCTCTTTATAGTGTACTTTGCAAAATGTCCAGGAATGAGATTTTGTTGCCCCCCGCCCCCTGTCTGGAAGCATGCACCTTGAGACTGAAAAACATTTGTTTTTCAAGTCCAGTTGAAATAACCACTGTTAATTCTGTTAGTTAATGGAATCATTTCAGGGTGTGAGGATGTTTGTACACTAAATTTTGCTATATAAACAATCTACTGGGGTATGTTTGCAGCTAGTACAGTCAAGATAACTAATGAAGTGAACAAGGTGTTAGCTGCATTTAGAGTGGTTTCAGGACCATTTGAAATAAAACATCCAGATATCTTCAGGTTTCTTCCAATGCTTGATGAATGTGGTGATTTCACGTACAGTAAAAAGATGAATTTAAAAAACAAATTACTTAAATTAAATCCAACTTCCTGGATGTTCTTTTTTGAATATCCATAATTTCTAAACAAATCAAACTTTGGCTAGAAAAGCTGAAGGACATTTTATTCTTTAAGATTTTTTGAGATAGATCATGAAACTGGAGGACTTCTGCCTTTGCCTGACCTACTGTGACATTTTAAGTGAAAGACCTTTTTGTGAGCTAAATAACACTTACTTTTTCATTACCATGCTGAAAAACCAGAAAACTATGTAAACTTCATACACATGGGGAGGCTTTGGAGTATATTCTGAACAAAAATATGTGCAGAAATACTTTGAGTACATATGCATAACTAGTTTTCACAATTATAAGTGGAAATCAGCTTCAGGTTTGGATGTTATGGAATATCCTGGATTCAATGTGGGGGGAAAAACTTACTTTACAGCTGAGCCAAATGTCTGTTTCTAGACATGTGTATGTTTTGATCATTTATAGTCTATAATTCTTCAGTGCAGTGTGCTAGAAATATGTACTGGTATTTCAGTTTTACTGTTTTGAAAACTAATATATTTGTGTTTGCAAATACATTATTTATTATTACTCATGTCTGTCATTTTATTTTTGAAGAAATAAAACAGAAGAAATAAGCAAAAGCACATAGATCAGAACCCTAGAACTCCATACTGTCAGTTTACTTTTGTCTTCTGTTTTAATTGCCCTGCGTAGCCAGGGCAAGATATGACATAAGGTTGTTAATCATTACTGGGTTCCAGCATTGGCAGCCTAGCTAATTCTCCCAACCATAACCCTGGAGATGATCACAGAATGTTAGATCAGCCAGCGTATTGTACATGGAAGAGTAAATTCCAACTCCACATATGGATGATGATGTTTTGAATTGGACTTTTAAAGACTCCAGAGCTGGATCGAGGCAAACTGCCTTCCAAAAGTCAGAAATGAACTCCTTTTTACATGGTTGGGTCCTGTGTCAATTAAAATGAAGTTTCTCTGTTGCATTTGTGCATATAGTCAGAAAATTGTAAATATGTCTACTCCATAGATCCTTACTCCTGTGTATATTTAGACTCACACCAGCTTTACTGTCACAACATAGGTGTGTTACTTTTTAGCCATGAAAAACCAATATGGCTATGGGAGAGTGAGGAGAATTCTATTTTGACTCAAGCATCAGAAATAGAATTTGCCCCCTCTCTCTATAACCAATTTTCTCTTATTTCCTCTCCTCGCTGAAGAGACAAACCTAAGTTCTCCACCCCCCACCCCCACACACAAAAAAATCAATATTGTAAATAGCCCAGGTAAGGACTTGGGTTATTTATCAACCCAAGACTCTTCGCTACTGTGATTGCTGACACGTGGGGCTTTTACCTCCAGATTCATTCTTGTGAGCCATCTGGGTTGAAATGGACGAGCATCCTATCTTCCAAGCATTTCAGAGGGCAGTATCCTCACCTGCTTAAGTCACCTTCTGGTCTACAAGAATGGAGCTATTACGGGTGGGAAATAGAAGAAATTATGGGCCAGATTACCCTGTAGCTGATTTTATACCAGTTCAATTCCATTGATTTCAGTGGAGTTAGTCCTGATTTCCACTAGTGTTTAGTGAATATTGTGTTATCATGTGTGTTCGTAATCCCAGCATAGAATTGTAGGACTGGAAGGGACCTCGAAAGATCATTTAGTCCAGTCCCCTACACTCATGGCAGGACTAAGTATTATCTAGACCATAGCTGACAGGTTTGTCTAACCTGCTCTTAAAAATCTCCAGTGATGGAGATTCTACAACCTCCCTAGGCAATTTATTCCAGTGCTTAACTACCCTGACAGCAAGTTTTTCCTAATGTCCAACCTAAACCTCCCTTGCTGCAATTTAAGAGCATTGCTTCTTGTCCTATCGTCTGAGGTTAAAGAAAATATTTTTTCTCCCTTCTCTTTGTAACAGCCTTTTCTGTACCTGAAAACTGTTATCGTGTCCCCTCTCAATCTTCTCTTTTCCAGCCTAAATATACCCAGTTTTTTCAATCTTCCATCGTAGGTCATGTTTTCTAGATCTTTAATCATTTTTGTTGCTCTTCTCTGGACTTTCTCCAATTTGTCCACATCTTTCCTGAAATGTGGTGCCCAGAACTGGACACAATACTGCAACTGAGGCCTGAGTAAGAATGGAAGAATTATTTCTCACGTCTCCTTTACTACACTCCTTCTAACACATCCCAAAATGATGTCTTTTGGAGTTCTTTCTTTCTTTCTTTCTTTCTTTCTTTCTTTCTTTCTTTCTTTCTTTCTTTCTTTCTTTCTTTTTCCTAATAGCGTTGCACT